AGTCAGTGTCATCGTGGCAGCATCTGCAGAGGAGAAAAAGACAGTTAACGTTGAGTCCAGTGACCCTTTGTCAGAACTGTTCTAACAAAGGGTCACTGTACTTAAAGTGTTAACTACTTTTTCTCCTCTACAGATGCTGCCAGACCTGCTGAGTTTCTTCAGCACTGTGTTCTTGTTTTAAACTTCCAACACCCACAGTTCTTTGTTTTTAATATTTGAAGTTTCAGTGTTGGCTCCATGGTAGTTTTCCCATCTCAGAGCCCAAAGGTTGTGAGCTCAAGTCCCATTTTGGGTATCTAGGCACGTTATTTTCATTGTCAGAGATGCTGTGTTCGTTTCGAGACTTAGGCTAGCCATTCTTCCAAGAAAACTTAAAACGAACCAATGGCACTATTCAAAGAAAAGTGCAGACATTCACTCAATCCCCTGGTTAAAATTTATCCCTCAATCAACATTCAAACCCAATCATTTGTCTCATTCCTACTTATGGGAATTTGCTATGCACAAACTAAATCCTGCATTGCCCTACATTACGATACCAACTACACTTTGGAAGTACTTTATTATTTGGGATTGCTGTTAATGTAATTTTATACCTAATATTACCATATGGTACAGCACTTAAATAGAAGTATGAAGCCTATTTAAGAATATTCAGAATACTTATTACTTCAAAGCATCCTGTAAACTATATTAATGCAATAGAGGACAATTGGATAAAAATACTGATTTTATACAAGTTCATGGAATTATTGAATCTCAACAGTGTGGAAGCAAGTCATTCAACCATTAGAGTCCACACCCACCCTCCAAAGAGCATCACATCCAGACCCACACCCTGCGCCCTATCCTTGTACCCCTGCATTTCTCATGGCGAATCCACCTGACCTGCACATCTTTAGACCGTGGCAGGAAACCAGAGCATCTAGGAGGAGATACAAGCAGAATGTGCAAACTCCACACAGAAAGCTGCCCGATGATGGAATCGAACCTGGAACCATGGCGCTATGATGCAGCAGTGCTAACCACTGATCCACTGTTATGACAGAAATTTTCTGGCAAATGGTTGAAGGGCTAAGATAACTTGAATAGATTAAATTCTGCACGTCAGCTTTGATCGCGTGTGATAATCCTTTTCTTAAAATATTTGTTCAGTGTCAAAACTTTTACGTGACAATAACCAGACAAATTTACACTGTAGAACTGGTTGTGAATGCAAAATTCTTTACACAGAAAAATCCACATCATTATTTCATTCCTTTTTTAAAAAGGAAAATCTGAGAAAACTGCAATTTATTGGCCCAACATTCAATATCGGAATGGTTACAGTGCCAGAGTAAGAAGGGAGCAATGTCAAAACATTGCACTACTTTACTTGATATGGTATCCGTAACATGGCAATATCAATTAGCAAGCAAACAGCTCCATCCAGCAGCAAATATCAAGTACTGCAGCAGAAGCTCTTGCGTCTACTCCTCCATTGTGTCTTTTGCCATTACATTGCTGCCTTAACACTGAAATAAATTGCTTATCGACACAGAAGGTTCACAATTAGAAGGTTCACACCAGCAATTTAATCAAGTATTTTGTAACTAGAATGCGGTAGCCCTATCCTATACTGCTGTAACACCACAATGAATAAAATGTCATTCCAGACCACTAAACATTTTCAAGCAGCTTCTGAATCACATGGATATGAAGACAAAACTGAGGTTTCTCCAGCTCCCTCGTAACTTTCAAAATTAATGGGCTGGCAGTCAATAGTTGGGATCTACGACCCTGGGGAAAAGGAGAAAACCTTTCAGCCCCTCAAGCGCTAAAATGGATCTCAATTTGTTTCTACCTATCCACCTTTGCTCCAAGCATCTGGATGGCCTAACGAGCAAACCTATAGCAATTTCAGTCATGAAAATCTGAATTCAGTCTTAGCAACCACGGCCCGTTGTCAAAGAGTTCCAAATTTTTACTGAGTAAACAGGTACTTCCCGAGTTCACTGTTGAATAGCCCAACTCCAATTTTAAGATTTTACCCCATTGTTTTGCATTCTCCTGTCTCAGGAAATAACTGCACAATCAAATTAGTTGCACATTGTAAATTGTGGAATTAGATGGTTTCCCAACTCACTACATGCAAAGGGATACAGGCAATGTTGATGCTAGCTTTCTACGTAATACTAGGGCTTAAGTAGTTGTATCCTTCTGGCAATAGGCGCTAAACTGCCTTAAAGACCTTCTGGGAGTGGGTATCCAGAACTGAATGCAATTACCCAGAATGGTTCAAACCAAAACTTCGCGTAATTTGTGATCTTTTGCATTCCTGGCCCCAGAAGATTAAGCCCAGCAGGGTTAAATTTTTTGTAACTGCCCATTATCTGCTTTTAAATGATTATCAAGCAGCACCTTCAGTAGAAAGCTACAATCCAAACCACATCCATTTATCAAATTATACATTGTTCAGTTTTACCCTGATCTTGCTAGTGTTGTATACAGAACTGTATTGTGCATGTCTTTTAAATTGGATGAAGTTATGTAATTTGCTTACTGTAATTTTTTCTTAAATATAAATAAAACTGCTGATCCTGAAAAGCTTTATACAAACAAACAAACAAACAAACAAACAAACAAACAAACAATCTTGAAAGAAAAACTCAAGAATACTACAAAGGCCAAAACTCAATTAATTAAATCTTGATTTCTATTGCAGGGCAGTGAAAACGAACAAGCAAATACTAAGACTTAAGAAATAGCAGTTGTCTATGTTGGGAAGAGCCTGCAGTAAATAAAAGCAATACCTACCTAACAGTCAACTTCTAAACCTTTGAAGAATTATCAAAAAGATCATGTCCTAGGGGAACCGCATGGCTGAAGGAAGAGAAATGTAATTGCTGAATAAAGTAGTTATATTGATCCCTTTTCTGAATTTTATGGAAGTTGATTTATACTAGGTAAGCTGTTTGGCAGTCTGGCAGGTAATGAAAGACAGAATTCATTTAATCTGTGGTGTCGAGAGATCCTCTGTATTTTCACTTGACAACTTTTAAATTGATTATTTCAAATGAAAATTTTTCATTGAACAATCATGGTTCAAAACAATTAAAGACAATTGTGCAATGCCAGGTTAACAAATCTGTCTTGATAAAGAAATGTATTAGAGACAATTCACAACAAAACAATTGGGGATGGGGGTTTACAGCATGAACTACACACTTCAAAGTGTTCTTATTCTATAATTGACACAAATTGAATTTTCAATAGGAGAAGGTAAACAGTGCATCAATAAATCTCATCTCTCGGAACTCACTGCAACCTGCAAAATTAGAATCCCTACAAGGTGGGAGCAGGCCATTCGTCCCAGAGTCCACACTCACCCTCTGATGGGCATCCCACCCACTATCCCTGTAACCCTGCATTTCCCATAGCTAGCCTACACATCCCTGGACACTATGGGGCAATTTAGCATGGCCAATCCACCTAACCTGCATGTCTTTAGACCATGGGAGGAAGCTGGAGCACACAGGGGAGAACCACGCAGACGTGGAGGAAGAATGTCTGTGTGGCATTTGCACAGTCACCTGAGGGTGGAATCAAACCCAGGTTGCTGGTGCTGAAACGCAGCAATGCTAACCACTGAGCCACTGTGCCGCCCTGGAAACTTCTCACCCAATACTTTGGTCAAACAGGCTAAATGTCCTTCTGCTAAATCTAAAACCATCTAGCCTTACAAGAACTTGTAAGGTAAGATAATTGAAATATACATTAAGTTGAGTTTTTATTACGTACAGAAAGGCAGCCAGATGCCATAAAGGAGTTGGTTACGAAGATTAAAAATGATCTATACCAGCAGAAGGGCACTTTTAGTTTTCCAGGCCAGCGGAGCTAGAAGGTAATCGTAAGCTGTTTTAGCAGTCCAAAATAGCAGGGCTGGAAAAATGTCCTGAGCATTTCTTAAGAGTTCAGTATAAAAGGTCAATCAGCAAGCCTTCTTGTGTGTCTCTGGGAGAGATGGGGAGAATCACTTCCAGTGAAACGTGTAGAAAGTCACCAAAATGCAATACTTACAACCTGTGCAGTTTAGTAGGAGATTTTACAGTGAAGATAGGAGTGATATTTCACTGGGGTTGGGAAACTTGGATGTTGTTGGGAACCAAAAGGTTGAGTCTTTCTTTGTGCTGTTCCTAAGATCTTTCTAATTTAATCAAACTTTGTTTATTTTTATACATTAAACTAACGTAGCTCCGTTAAAAGTACATTGACACAAGGCAGTCAATTTCTTCAGTGACTGCTCCAAGTCAAAAATAAAATATGATCTATCAAGCGAGGTTTAATTCTGGAATCTGATTTGTCCAGTATTATCATCAGCTGGGATTATGATAACTGAAACAACCCTTCCAGCTTCCTAAAGACTACTAGCATCAATTCCTTTAGGTCAGAAGCAGAGAAATGCACCTTCCGCAATGTTTTAAAAACCAACTTGGACATTGCTATAGCAACACTAGTTATGCAGCTTGATGCACCAGTTATAATTGATAAAGATAACTTATATGGAGTTTTTAGCATACTTACTGAGTCAGAAGCTAAAAACTGCTCACATCAATTTCAAGAGGTCTAAACCTTTACAAAGATTGGGATTCCACTTAAAGAGGATGGATTTGTACCTGGATTCCAGAAGTCAAATGGCATGTCTACAGTTCACTGTTCTACCTCGGCTCATTATTTGAAAATATAATTGCAAATACTTTAATAAATGTAGAATTCAGTTTGCAAGCAGGGAAGGTTAAACTATTTAACTGGTTCAACCAACTTGCACTAATTCTATGACATACGGAATTTAAATTTAATAGTTTTGAAATATAGACATAATCAACAGGAATGTCACTGCATATGTCCTTCTGAAAGAAAAGGGCCTGTAACAATGTTTGGAAGGTTAGAGAGATGTTATTGGGATCTATGGCACAACTAGGATGCATTCACACCACTTATTATTTAGTTCTCATACTCACACATCCAAAGGTAGTAAATGCGTTTTGCCAGGACTTTGTGGGGTTCTGGAATCTCATTAAAATCCTGGTAAAAACATGGTTTCAACGGAATGAACTTTGGGAGCGGTGGAAAATTGTTTTCTAGAAAACAAAACAACAGCATCATGTTTGAGTAATCTACAAGTGATAAGGTTTAAAACAATTAAAAATGTTCAGTTTATTAACGATGGCGAATATTGGGTGCCATTGCAAAGTTAAAGAATATGCTGTTATATACTGGGCCTACTTTTTGACAGGAACAAATTCTCCAACTCATCCTTTTCTCTTCCTACTATGTATCAAGAAGGGTTCCTCACTTTCCCAAGCCCTTAGATGAGGGTTTCCAAATACATTCAGATAATTGGGTTGCATTTCCTTCTTTATCCTTCCACCGTTATGAAGGTTCCTCTCCTACTTGCCCAGTCTCATTAATCTAGATCCTCAAACCCATAAGCTGAACATGCTAGGGCCCACACCATTTCCAAGATGGCTGAAAATACTCTCTCTCCTGTCAGGTTATATTCTCTTTTCCCTAGAAAGGAGACACACACACACACACACAAAAGGATTCTCTCCATTCCTTTTATTCATTACTATTTACCAGGCTTCTGTATACATCTACATAATATTTTTTCCTGATCCATGTCTAATATTTCCTTTCTCTCCCTGTAGAAATAATCTTGTTTTGCATCATCTCTTGCTCTCCTACAATTTTCCTCTTTCTCCAAGTATCTTTATATATTGCTAATGCTTTCCCTCCACAGTTGCATAAGATTCATTATTCCTACTCTAAACCTTCTCCTTCAACTTTCTAGATTTTCCATCACAATGTTTTGTTCAGTTCCTTTGCATAATTTTTACTCATCAGGCAAACCCCACCTACCTACCCTAATATTAAATGCTTTTTCTCATCTGCCAGATGCACACAGTTAGACAATTGCTCTATTTTCATTTTGGCTGGCAAACTGAAGACGTGCACTCCTGCACATGTACACCTGTCTCTATCATGGCCGTTGTTGGATCTCAAACTATCAGAGATGCTCCCAGCAAAACACTTCATACTCGTCCATTTAACAGGGCACTGACAGCCAGTAAATCTGAACAGAAAGGTCTGTCACTTCTATCACATCCATCTTTTACTTGCACCTCTAAAGTTCCAATGTGCAGTCCACCTGGCATTCCAACATATCAAGAGAGTCACAGGTTGTGCCGGGAAGGTCCCAAAGTAGTCGCAAGTCGTAGGTAGATGTTGGAGGAATGCTGTGATTTTCCTGTTTGCTGTGTCATTTTTAGCCGTGTATATCTTGTAATATTTATGACAGGTGCTTCTCAATTTCTTTTTAATGTAATGGGGTGGAATCTTATCGTGTTGTGTGTAAAGGGGAAAAAATAGCAAAAAAACAAGTTGAGTACGACAATTGGTAAACAGTAATAAATCAGAGAGGGGTTTAATACTTAATCATGGGCAAGGATTACTGAGACTTTGGTCTCACTGCCACACCCATAGCAGATGGCATGTCAAATAGCTTTCAGCAAGTTGTTCCAATTATGCAACAGCATTTAACTAACTTTTACTGTATTTTATTGTGAATGTTGCATTGCCCATGGAAAAATATTCAACTTAGAACATGGAGCAAGAACGTAGAATATCAATTAGCTTTAACTTGCAAAAATATCACTTCACGCAATACAAACCCCTTGCATTTAAGGGTTCTAGTACTTAAACTTCCAAAATTCAAAATCAACAGTTCACAGCAGATAATTGTTTGTAGCTTACACCAAGCAATACTTTATGTCAGCGATCATAAGGTAATTATGAATAAGAGAAGCCATTTCTCCATTCAGCCTTCCAATAACTTCAAGCCTCCTCACTGTTTGATCAGCTGAACATTTAAGATCCAAGTATTTGGTGTGCTTTTACACTGACAAATATAGCTGAAGAACACTGAGCACTTTTACAATAAGGGCCAGGTTCTGATGATTCAACTTCGCTTAAGAAATATGCAGCACCCAGGAGCTGGCTTTGGACCTTTCAAAGTGCTTACTATCTTGCCTTCATCTTTTGTCATTCACAAAAGACAGGAAGAGCACAAATAGGTGTCCTCATTCGAAATCAGATTCTGTCTGGTCAGTCAGTAGCATGCCAATCTGTCAGACAGGGCTTCATGCAGGAGTGGGAACAAGAAGTTGGATTAGGTATGCAGAGGTTTCAGGAGGCTGAGACAGTTGACACAAAGAACACTGACATACTGGCAGAATTAGCTGCAACTGGAAGAAAATGGGTTTTAAAAAAACAACATAAACATCATTGAAATTATTACAGAAATCACATTTAGAGCTATCTGAAAAGGAGATCTGCACATTGTCCTTTGTGATCCAGGAAATGCTCAGCAGAAACTCAGCTGTACAAACTAAATGACATCTGTCCTTACCTGTCATATTTAAGGTGGAGTCTGCTGCCTCAAATGAGCAACACGATCTAACCTGCAAAACAAAGACAATAGGATTTTAAACATAAACTATAGTTCAGCTGAAATGCCGATCTGCAAACATGAATTTACCAACTTTAGCAACTTACTTCAGCACAAACCACCACAAATCCTTTGAGCTAATATTTGAAGTTGAACTTCACCAATTTTACAATTAGCTGCCCCAAACGGAAATCAAATAGTTCAGATTAGATTGTGCCTCAGGTCCTGGAACTCCCTTCCCTACAATGCTCTCCGCAGTGGCTCTACTCACCACCATGAAGAACAATTCCAGATGGATAACAAGTACTGGCCCAGCCAGCTACACCCAAGTCCCTTGAAAGGATTTTAAAAATTTCAAACAAAACGCCTCCACTGGAAGGCGACAGCCAAATTGAAGCATACCTCATGAACAATGCCAAGTCAGTCATCCACACATAAATGCATGAAAATACAACTAAATATTCTACTGGAGAATTCTTCCGCACATTCACTAACATCCTTCATGTGCCCTCATGTAGCTTCTGCTCTCTTTCTGATAGTGGCCTGTAGAGCATTCCAGCAAAAATTTTTTTAAAAAAAAAAGAGATACGTCCGCAAACCTTCAAACTAACTTACTGCAGAGTAAATGTAATTCACATGTTTGTCACTCCTCTACCATTCCCTGTTTGTGGAAAACAAAGGAAGTACAACTGTACTGAAACTCCAGGTGGCTCACGTGGTGCAGAAACGCCATTTCTGTTGTGCCAAATAGCCAGCTTTGAGCTTATGTTCAACACAATGCATTTTGCCCCAACCTGTTGGTAGTTATCTTCCATCTAAGCCAAATAGCCCTAAACACATTTCCTTGACTTGCTTGTGCTTTACTCCTTCATTCTTCTGTTGCAGCCTTCCAACACCTCCCAAATAACTCCAAAATTATCTAACTCTGAGCTTCTTTTCATTTCTCCTTCCTTTCAGTTCACCATTGACACTGAGGCAGCCATTCTCTCTCCCTACTGCTTCTTCACCCAGCTCAGATTTCTTATACTGCCTGTTTCCTCCACTTGACTTTCAAAGAATTGCTCACAAGCTTTCCAAGTACAAAACACAATTAACCTAACTAGTTTTAACCCCTACAGGTTGAACTCATGTGGAAGATTTTCTGGCATTAACCACTTTTAGCTGAAGTGGCATATTGAACATATCATGATTATCCAGCTTAGTGGGTTGAACAGGTTGAGGCAATGCAAGCTACGCTATCAATCCACAAAAGGGCTTAAGTTTAATTTCTCATAACACAATGTCAAGCTAGTCGTTATGTGAAAGCGGTTTTTTTTTTTTTTTTTTAAATTGTTTAATCATCTTTTTGATCACACAAATACAAGGCTAAGGTAGGGATTCCCTGGAGTATTCCCTTAAAAGCTCATTTGCAACCCAGGAAGTCAAAATTAGCTTGCATTTACTTACAATAAATCTTTATTTCATCTATATAAAACGTAGTGTCAAGATCAACTAAAAGTATACAGGAACAAACATGATCCTTTTTCTTTCTCTCCCCCAACCCATCATGCTTGAGACATTCAGCAACTAAGCACTAATGACATTTTTTCTTAAGGTTCACAAGCTGTTCTGCTTAATGTTTATAACTTCTGACATCAGTTGGTGATTGTTTTCATGAAAAAGTAGAAACTTATTCAATTGCCCTTTGTTGTAATTGGGTTCTAATGGATGTGAAAAAGATGGGCTATTCACCACAGATACAGACCGATGAGTAATTAGTATTGGCCACAAAATAAAAAAAGGGGGATCAAACTGAATTGAATCAAATCAATGAAAGTAAAGGCTGTGAACTGAACATATAATTCAGCCTACAGTACAGCCAGCTGTTGATATTCATTACACAAATAATTTTCAAAATAAGGTTAAGTCCTTCATAAAACAAACAAAAAAAGTACACGACAAGAGGGAGCAGCAAAAGGAAAATGCACATTAAGCTGGAAGAAAAGTCATTCAGTGTGGGGAAAAAAGTTAGGAAAAGCTTGGAGGCAAAGATGACTTTAAAGAGAGTAATGTGTGGACAGAAAACCTGCTCCAGCTCAGTGACACCTTGTTAGGCTTTGGGGAAGTCCAGGTGACTACGCTGAAATAGCACTCAATTAAGTCAGTGCTTCAGAAACCGACTTTCAAACGAAAGCTGGTGCGTAGGGTGTGCACAATTATAGCACTAATAGAAGCCATATAGCCCTTTCAGTCTGCTCCACATTTCAATAAGATCATTGCTAACTTTCTGCCTCTACTCCTCATAAACCTGTTTCCTGACAGTTCAAAGATCTGCCCATCTACACATTAGTCAGCAATGGAGCATCCACAACAGAGTTTGAAAATTCACCTCTCAGTGAGGAAATTTATTGTCACAATCCTAAGTGACTGACTCCTTATCCTGAGTCAATGCCCACTTACCTCCAGGCAGCCCAAACATTTACAGTACAAAAACTTAAGTACAAATGTTAAAAATAAACTACAGTGAAATGGTTGACTCTTAGCTGCCCTTTGGAATGGCCCAGCAAGTCACTCAGTTCAAAGGCAATTAGGGATGAGCAAAATTGCTGGCCCTGTTTATTGTGAACTTGAGATATTTAACTGTATCTGAAATTACAGTCATGACTTTTACTCTGCTAAGTTACTCACTTTACAAATGTATTAAAATTAAAATAAAAGACTGAAAATCTTAGGCAATAAACAAAGTGCAGCTTGTGTACAAGTTAATTTATCAGTTCACTGCAAAAGTAGATGGACTGTAGTGAATTCCATACAGAATGGATTGTTAATAACCGTCTATGCAGAAAGTTCCAATTCTGCCTCTCTTTTACATTTTGCAATTCTCACCATTTGTTTTGATATTCAACAGCTTTAAAGCAGAGTGTTTCTTGTTTTAAAAGTAAAGGAGACCTTTCCGAGTCAACACAAGGTGGAGATGGAGCAACACAGCAGGTCAGGCAGCATTAGAGGAGTAGGAAAGTCGATGTTTTGGGTCAGAACCCCTTTTCTGTTCTGAAGACTCCTCTGATGCTGCCTGGCCTGCTGTGTTCCTCCAGCTCCACACCGTTGGCTCTGGCTCCAGTATCTGCAATTCTTGGTATCTCTGGAAACCTTTCCGAGGTTTTTTTTAGCTTTACACCAACTTTGGAAGCATTCATTTTTATTGATAACTGGTATAGCTGCACGTTATTCACTTCAGTATAATGACTACTTACAAACCACAGTTCTATGTTTTGCTTCAATCTGCTTTATGTAAAAAAAACCTTCAGTTAACAAGCTGATGAGCAATCTAACTGCCAACTTTGCCAAGTACTTTCATTCAGTTGTTAAGGTGTATTTTTAATCCAAGATGTGAAAACGCATGATGGCACCAGGGCCACACAAGGTCCTTTAGAAAGCACAATATCAAAGATAAGCACCTCTGTATCTCAAAATTAAACACAGCAATAATGGCTTAATTCCAGGCTTCAAGATTCAGAGTTTTTAGGATTGCAGAATTGGTATGACACCAAAGTGCACAAAAATAACCAGAATATCAAAATATGATTTAGTGGAATTTCTGACATCTCCCACTGCTGAGTAATTTGCTTGATGGATAACTAGCACTGATTTTTTTTTAAATGTTTGAAATTGCTGAAAAAGATAAGGGCAAGGGTAATCCAATAATAGAGATCTCTAACATACTGAAGGGACTTAAGGTTGGTTTTGAGGTGATGTTAAGGTCGGTTGGCTCACCGAGCTGGTTTGTTGTTCTGCAGACGTTTCGTTACCATGCTTGGTAACATCATCAGTGCAGCCTCCGATGAAGCACTGTTGTGTTTTCCCGCCTGGTTTTTAAACTTTGGAGTCCATTGAGCTGATTGTCTCACTTCCGGTTTTCCTTCACAGTGGAGTGTACATGGGGTCGAGTTCTATGTTATTTATATGATGTTATTTATCAGAGTTCAAAACTGGGGATAATTATAAAGAATGAAAAAAAGGACATCACATGAAGCATCTCTACCTGATGAATGCAGTTTTGTTTTAAGAAACTCATTCATGGATTGTAGGCATTGTAGGCTGCACCAGCATCAACTATCCTTATCTGCCCTCGAGAAGATGGTGGGAAGCTGCTTTTTTGAATTATTGCACTCCACATGATGCTGTTAGGGAGTTTCAGAGTTTTGACCCAACAACAATGGTGGAACAGTGATATATTTCTAAGTCAGGATGGTGAGAGGCTTGGATAGCAGTTGATAGTGCTCCTATGTAGCTTTTGCCCTTGTCCTCCTAAAGTGTAGTGACATGGGTTTGGAGCTGCTTTTTATCAAAACTCAGGGCGAGAGATTCAAGCAGGTTGCTTTGTCCTCGATGGTATCAAGTTTCTTGAGTATTGTTGAAGGCACACCCATCTCGGCAAAAGGGGAGTATCCCATCACAATCCTGATTTCTGTCTCGTTGGTCAGGTGGTGAGTTACTCAGCGCAGGATTCTAGCCTCTGACTTGCTCTTGAAGCCACACTATTAAATAGTAGGATATTCAGTGATGCTACCATTTGTGACGATACCATGGCTTTATCAAGTGCATTTTGTCTTTTTTTAAAAAAAAATGAAGAGGGGTTGAGACAGAGGTGTACAGTGGTATGTTCCAAACCAATAAAGTAAACAGCTTGTGAAGCCTTGGGTGTTTTTTAAATAGATTGAAGTTATTCCAATTCTTTTTGCGTTGTTTGTATTTTTGCTATAGGGCAAGAATAGGTTTTTAAAGGAAAGCCAGATTGCAAAAAATAAAACAGAAGTCCATGTTAACAAAATTAACCTTGCTTGGAGCATGAATATTTGCATTGGCCTGTTGGATCCAATGACCTATAAATCCCATGTAAATCAGATGAATTGTAGATTGCAGGGAAAGAGGCATAGGTTTTGTTTCACATTATTGGCAGCTGCAACTGAAGGAGGCTGCTACAGGTACAAAATTCAAATGTGAGAGAGTCATAAGCAACAAAAATATACTTGGAACCCAACAACTTGAATCAATGGAATAAAATAATTCTTCAGAACAGAACACAACCTTAAGCACAAAAACAGAAGTTGCTGGTAAAGCTCAGCATGTCTGACAACATCCGTGAAGAAAAAAATCAGAGTTAATGTTTCGGGTCCAGTGACCCTTCCTCAGAACCTTAAGTTATCTTGCAAAACAGTTAACATGTCATCAACTACTGAAGTTTAGCAGTGATGCTCAGCAGGTGTTTCCAGACATATCTTAAGACAAAGCAATACAATACTGATCCAAGGAAAAGAACAAGCAATACTAATCCTGATCATACCTTTTTATGACAGCAGCAGGACTGAAACCAAGTCTAATCTCTACAGCACATATGTGCTAGTCATGGCTCAGGTGGTAGCACTTTGACCTTAGTCAAAAGGTTGTGGGTTCAAGTTATACTCAGGATTTGAGCATAAAAAACCTTGCAGCTCAATACATATGGACTGCTGCATTATGTGATGTTATGATGAAGGGCTTTCGGCCTTTTTTGTCACGGAAATGTCACCAGCAGGTAACAGCAGGGAGTGATTCTGCTCACGGCGGTCATCTTACCGCTTTTGATGAGATGAGACATTAGAGGTCCCATTTGTCTGTAGGCCCCAAGATCTCCCGTGGCACTATTTTCATGAGCAGAACAGCTTGATACTTTGGGAAATATAGTGAACCCCTCCCTCCATATCCCTCAATCAGCAGGTGCAAAAGCAAACTCTGATCATTAGGTTGTTGTTTCACAAATTGGCTGCCGTGTTTCCAAATTCCAAATGTGATTCTTATTCAAAAAGTACAACATCAGCTTTAAAGCACTTGAGATACTGGGAACAGCGCTAGATAAATGCAGGTCATTCTTTCAGATAATGATTACATACATGACAGGGGGAGATGATTTTCCATACAGCAAGAGAGTGTGTGTGGTAGCATGATAAATAATGCGTCAAGAAACCAACCCAAGCGGCTGACAGAGTCATACAACACAGAAACAGACCCTTCGGTCCAACTGGACTATACTGAACATAATCCCAAACTAAACTAGTGTCACCTGCCTGCTCCTGGACCATATCCCTCCAAATCTTAAGTTCATTAAAACAAAGAACTCCAGCATATACTACATATGCTGTTGAACATAAGTGTTCAACAGCATAAGAAATAGCAGCTGGAGGAGGTCATTTAGCTCTTCCAGCCTATACTGCCATTCACCAACTTTTAACCTCAACACCATCTTCTTGCATTGTGCTATATCACTTACTTCCCTTGTGGGAAGGAAGGTCTGTAAAATATTGCGATTCTTTGGAACTTGCATTAGAAAGAGAGATATATAGGTAGATTAGTGCTGTGTAGGAAAGATCAGAAAGTCATTCTGGAACTGTGATTTAAACATACCAATTCACCAATTCCAAGAAGACATGTAACTGCCAAGAAGGGCTTGAGAGAATCATGAAGTTTTAACAGAACCAATTCTGAGGAAAATTTAAAATTTGAGAAAGGAGTATAATTTCTTTGGACTTTCCATAACAGGTAGTGTTGTGAAACACTAGACTCTGCTTCTGCATAAATTAGAATACCTTTGTGACGGCTGAGATTATATACTTAGGAACAAACTGTGCTAGTAGCTGGAAAGTCAGATACTTACAGATAACAGACAGTTAACAATAGGATGCGGTCAGTGTGTCTGTAATTAGACCTTGCTACATTGGATATAATTATAGGGCAGGTAGTCGAGTTTTGAGAACTTTTGGGAATCTGTGATGAAGGCAGAGTCTGATCACCTTGAGTTTGCAGAAAACCAAGTTATATGAAGGCTCAGTTAAAACATTAATATTACATCTATTTGAAAACTGCACCAAGACCAAATTAAAACTTGTTGATGAACAAACCACACGTGTCCTATTCAAACAGAAGCTATTCTTGTAAGCTAAACAGCTCTTTGTTGCAACATTAACCACTGAATAGCATCCTCTTACATAGATCAACTCAGTGCTGCAGTACTCCGGTGAAAAAGAACAGGATTCACTCCAACATGTGCATAAGATCCACAAGATCCACCTGACAGTGCTGGGAGTAACAGCTATAACTTGGTCCTGTCCAGCACTTCATTTCTAAATTGCCAAAGGATCCAACTTCACTGACAACAGGATTAAAGTAGTTTCAGAAATCTGACTACAACTTTCACAGATAAGTAATTACCTCTGTCACAACTTACATTAAGATGTCACTAGTGTCTTTTCTTTTCCCTCCTTTCTTGCTGATCAGCCTCCAACTTCTTCAGTCCTACAATTTTAAAAACACAAAAGAAAAGGTTTCAAATTCAAGCTCAGCATGAATGCTGTTTTGCTAGGGTTCAAGAATGTTGTGCACACAATTAATGGTTTTCAAAATGATGTACTGCAATTTCCATAATACTAATTAGTCAGCACCAGCTCCACCACAGAAAGCTAGCCACAAGCATACACTCTAAAGACTTCAAATGTGCAGTAAGCCAAAATATTATGAGTACAAGAAATGGTTTCTTTGAGCAAAACAGGTGTTTGCTTACATTGTACTAAGATGACCGCCGTGAGCAGAATCACTCCTTGCTGTTACCTGCTGGTGACATTTCCGTGACAAAAAAGGCCGAAGCCCTTCATCATAATAGCAATCGAACCACATTTATATAACAAACTAAATCATTGCTAAGTGCAACACTTTCTCCTATCTCTCCGTTCTGACAAAAACTCAATTGTTAAAAACACAGTATTATTGGGCTTATTGTGAGTAGCACTGTGGGTTATCTAATCGTGAAAACAGGGCATCCATTGTAAGTAACAAATGTTAGATACACAAAATGCTAAGCTGGGTTAGAACTGCCATGTCAGCCATTAATAGAAATGGCTATTCTAGTATGAACAGATATTCAAAGTATGAATTGTAGTAAAGAACAAGTTATTTTTGCCCTCCCTAAATCAAACAAGATCTGATCTTGCTTTATGAATTGGGAGCAAAAGTAAGCCACTTGTCCTTCAATACTTTCAATAAGATCATGTCTGATCATATTTTAGGACAGCACTTAAGTTGTTCTTAAGAAGATGGTGGTGAGCTGCATTCTTAGGTACAGCCACAGCCATAGTAATGTTAGGGAAGAAGTTCCAGGGTTTTCAAACAGCGACAGTGAAGGAACAACAATATGGTTCCAAGTCAGGATGGTGTGTAGCTTAGAGGAGAACTTCCAATTGATGGTGTTCCCAAGAATCTATTGCTCTCGTCCTTCTAGGCAAATATCACAGTCTTGCAAAGTGCAGCTCGTAAAAGATGCATGTTGCTGACACCGGACATGGATAGTGGAGGGACCTAACGGTTGAAGATGTCAGATGAGATGCCAATCAAATGGCTGCAACTGCATTGCAGTTGTGCTGAATACTGTTGCATCTGCACTCCTCCTGGCAAGTTGAAAAGAGGCATTCAGTTCTAATTAGATTCCAAAAGGAAGTTAGGCTTTTTAGGATATGCGGTTTAGTTTTAGTCCTCAATGATAAAACAAAGACAATTTTTTGCTTGTACTTCGCCAGGAAGTAGTTAATGGGCAACCTAGAAAAGGCAGAAGCAGGAATATGACTTCCATTAGATCATGGCCAATCTGTGACCTAACTCTATCGAGCTGTTTTTAAACTCATATGGATAGGAAGAAAATCCAAACTAATTTTAAAATTGGTAAATAAATTACTTATTACCATTTGCAAAAAAATGTGCCAAACTTATTGCAAGTGTTTTCTTATGTTCACTTCTGCAAAGTCTGAATTTGTAAATTAATCTATCCCTCACCCCTTAACCAGTCTCTAATTAGCAAAGTAATTTTTCCAATCTATTCTTTCTGTTCTTCAATATCTAGAAAACTGCAATTAAATCACTCTCTGACCTTCTAAACTCCAGACATACAATCCTAGTTTTAGGCTAATCTGTGTGACTAGGTGTACACAAAAGGAGGTGAGATTAGTGCTCATGGTGAAGTGGTAACGACTCTCTCTGAGCTAGAAAGCCCAAGTTGAACAGCTACCTACTCCAGACCATATCATAACATGTCTGAAATGACTGAATATAGATAATCTACAATCCTTGTTTGATTGCTCCTTTGTAGCTCAACTCTTGCAACCTAGCTATCATTTCAATTTACGTACAATGTAGTCCCGAATGCCAGTATGTCCTGTGGTGTCGATGCAAAATTGCTCACTACACTGTTGTGGGGTTTAACTGATGCTGTGTGTACCTAAAGCATAATTTGTATCAGCTCAGAGTCTATCACTCTAGCAATCTATGTGCTTTCTTCGATTATTCTATTATATAAAATAATCAAAAGTTACTGGGGTGGGGGTGGTCAACCTGCTGCGTTAACAGCTTTCTGCAAGAGCAATTCCACTCTAACTACATCCTCACCCTTTGCTCCTGAAACCTGCAAAATTTTCTTCAGATAATGATTTAATTCTTTCTTGAATCAACATCACACTCAGGTGATGCACCCCAGATCTTTAACCACACCCCATGCAGAACTGTTTTATCTCACATCACCACTGTTTCTTTTGCAAATCACTTCAAACCTCTATCCTCTGCTCCATGCAAACAGATTCTCCGTCCCTACTCAGTCCAGATCCTCATGATTTTGAATACCTCTACCAACCTCTGCCTCTCCAAGGAGGACAGCCTCAACTTCTTCAATCTATCTACAACACAAGCTGTGTTACAATCCTAGACTTGACAATGAAACTGATGTTACAATGTGGCTAGACAGGGACCAATAATAGGATTAACAAATAATAAACTATACAGTATTAGAACAACCTGCATGTTCAAGTTAATTTTAGATTAGAAGGTAACGTGGTGAATATGAGTAAGAGACTGTGGTGGAACAATTCTAGCTCATACCATAAAGAATTTGCAATGAAAACAAAGCCCAGGGATCACTCAGCAAATCTCCTAAAACTTGAGGCATTGGGTCACTGTATCTTTTCAAAACTTCACAAGAAATTGTAATTCTTCACTTTTACCAAGTTGGCCTTGAAACTCACTGAGGATCTTTGTCATGAACTTACTCAATGCCTCATCACACTCTGATTGATCACTCTTCCCTGGGTCTATGCTACCTTAGACTCTGAAAAATATACTTCAGCATTTAACAGGCAACTCCAGCTTTTCAGTTATAGTAAGCTTCAAGTTAGAGCTAACCCTGAGCATGTACCCTTCTACTCCTCCTTTACAATTTACATTTCCCTACTCATTGTTTCCTACCAAAATAAATCACATCACACTTTTCTGCATTTAGTTTCATCTGCTACTCATCTGGCTTACATCTTTTGCAATGCACATTTATTTTGAATCAACCAGTTCAGACATGTTATGATACACCTCTTGTACAGTTAGGACCTGAACCCACACATTCCAGCCTAAAAGAATAACACTACCACTATGCCACAAAACCCTTTTGAAATGTAACACTATCCTCCTTAATTCTCAATATTTCCAATTTTATAACCCTGTTTGAGGCATCTTAATGATCTCTGCACTTGGATCTCCACTCGTTCTTACTTTTCAGTCAGAAAGTACCCTGCATTCCGACACAGCTCTGCCTTTAATTGGTTTTGGATGTTGCTGGCAAGGCAAGGCAATGATTTGTTGCCCTTGAACTAAGCAGCCTGTTAAGTCATTTCAGAGGGCAGTTGAGAGTCAACCATATTGCTGTGGGTCTGGGATCATACGTAGGCCAGACCAGGTAATGATGACAGATTTATTTGCTAAAGGGCTTTTAAGTGAGCCACAGATTTTTTTTTTTAAAAAAGTAATTGATAACACTTTTGTGGTCACAAATGATGAAACTAGCTTTCAAGAGCAAATTTTATTAATTGTATTTAAATTCCACTTGCTGCCATGATGGAATTTGAATCCACACTCCCAGAACATTAGCCTGGACCTCTGGATTACTGACCGAGTGATACAACCATTACAGCACCATTTCCCCGCCCACCTCCGAAATACTGATTAGGAATTGCACAATAACAGTCAACGACTCCTCTCACATTTCATATTTTTCCCCTTATTGCCTGGAATATACTTGGCATCAACTAGTGCATCATGTTCAACCTGGGTGGGTGGGGGCCAAACAAAAATCAGTAAAAAAAAAAACTTGAACACAAAATGTACTGGTCACACAGGACCTTAACTTTGAAGTATACAAGATGAATCCAATCAGTTTGTATCATTTGCCAGTTTTGTTGATTTGACTCGGCAAACTTTTGAGATCAAGCAAAGCAGTTACATTTACATGGGCATAAAATAGATAATTTCATGAAGATAAACTGGACAGGCTGCAGTTGTTTCAACTGAAGTTTAGAAGACCGAGGGGTTATGCAATTGAAGTGTAAAAAATTCTGAATGGTCTTTACAAAATGGCATAGACAGGAGGTTTCCTCTTGAGACAGTCCAGAATTAGAGGACACTTTCTTTTAAATTAAGGGGTCACCCTTTCAAAGTTAGAGATGAGGAGATTTCTTTTAAATCTCATAGGGTTGTGCAATTTTGGAAGTCTGTCTTAAAAGGCAGTGAAGGTGAGGTCATTGAGTATTTTACGACAAGTGAATCGATTTTTGTTAGACAGGGAAATAAAGGGCCACCAGAGTTGATGAGAATGTGGAATTCAAAACAGACTAGCCATGACCGTAATTATACGGTGGAGCAGGCCTATGGGGCCCCGAGAAACTACTTATACACCTATTTTAAACATTGATAAACCATTCAGCAAAAGCAAAATGCAGATGCTGAAGAATATTCATCAGGTCAGGCAGCCTCTGAAGGGAAAACAATTATAAATTTCCAGTTAAAAACTGTTCCTCACTCTAACAAAGCAGCCTCACCTGAGTGCTTGCAGCAATTTGATTTTTAAGGACAGATTCCCTCAAATAATTAGTTTGCAATAACTGGAGAAAGAAAAAGAAACAATAAGCCAGGAATGAATTTGAAAGCAGCAGTGCAAACCAGTCAACCGGTCGAGATTACATCATGCAACATGAAGGCAAACAGCTTCATCAGTAACCAGTCACCTTATTCGTATACACACGCAATAAATTCAAGTGATACACAAGAACAGGAGTAGGCCATTCAGTCCCTCGCACCTGTTCCATCAATTAATGAGATTATGGCTGATGTGTGGCCTAATTCCACATGTCTGTCTTTGGCCCACATCCCATAATACCATAGATACATTTTTGTTAAATCAAAGTTCAGTAACATACACAATATACCGTGTAGATTTAATCCCAGCAGCAGCAAGCATTCAATACTGCACCCAAGGAATCACTTAAAAAAAAATGCATAAGGTGATACGCAATTTGCAAACGAAATACGAGATTTTCCCTTCTCCCTGCTTCAGCAGCATCAAGGCAGCGATTTTATTCTAAATAAACTGCACAGACTTGCACCTCGATCCTCGAGGTTTTATGTCGATGCGATTTGCACTTTTACTAATGCAAGGTCGCCCCCACCGTGCAATGCACCTGCCCTGAGCTGGATGGTGCATATGCCCTCTGTGTCAATGCCTGCCCTCTGCTCCCGTGCTGCACAAACCCAGCTTCCCCCTGCTGTAATGCCAGGCCTAGGCTGACCTGCCCGACCCTGTCCTGCCCTTACCGTTCCAGTGGCTGCTACTGCCGCTGTGTCTCTGCCAGGGCTAAATCGGCCTGCCTGCAGGTGGAAAGGGAGATTTAATTTGCTGATTTCATTCTACCCTGTTTACTTCACTCCCTCCCCGCCCCCGGGTGTAGGAGTCAACCGTCGGGGCGGCTGTTTTTTTTCCCCCGCAGACGCTTCCTTCACCTTCCTCCTGGACGCCGCCTCTCGCGAGAAAGGGTCCTGAACCCGCCCCTTCGCCGTCTGTCACTCAAACCCGTCTCCAGTGGCAATGCCCACCCCCTCACCGCCGGATTCTCACTTCAGTGGCTGCTGCCCCTATCACTCAAATCGGTCTCCTGCGGCAACGCCCCGCCCCTTCCACGCAAAGCTGTCCCCAATGGCAACACACCCCCGCCTGACCAACAGGACCTTTCTCCGGTGGCTGGAACTCCCGTCACTCCAATCAGTCTCCAATAGCAACGCCCTCGCCTCCGGGTGCTCACGCCAGCGTGTGCTCTCCTGTCACTCAAATCGGTATCCCATGGCAACCACCGTCCCCTCCACACAAGGCCTTCGCCACAGTGGCTGCTGCCCCTGTCACTCGGGTCGGTCTCCAATAGTAACGCGCCGCGCCCTCACCACCAGAGGATCCCACGAGCGTGCGCGGCCCTGTCATTCAAACCGGTCACGTGCGGAGACACCCCGCCCCTACCGTCCATGGAGCTGACTCCAGTGGCTGATGCCCCGTCACTCAAGTCGGTCTCCCATAGCAACGCCCCAGCAAGCTCTCACTCCAGTGGCTGATGCCCCTGTCACTCAAACCGAACTGGAGCAGCAACGCCCCGCCTACTCTCAATCAGGGATGCTCAATGGGGACAAGACGACTCCAAATCCTCCAACTTGAAGGGGCCTCTGGGTTGTTCTTCAAATGTGGCCCACAGAGGGCAAAACCACAGGAGAAAAATAACAACAAAGGACAAAGCCAACTTCATAAGTAACAATAATTATGCACCTCCCTTCTCTCTGGGGTGATGATGATATAATGGAAATGTCAAGGGCTCTTGTGCTGCAGTGGTAGTCACCCTGCCTCTGAGGGAGGAGGCCTGGGTTCATGCCCAACCTGTTCCAGAGGTGTGTAATAATATCTCCGAACAGGGTGATAAAAATAGCTAGAGGAGTTTGTTCATGGTTCCTGGGGTGCAGTGGTAGCGTTCGTGCCTCTAAGCTAACAGGTCCAGGTTCAAGTGCCACCTCTTCCAGAGGGGTATAATAACATCCCCCAATAGGAAAATAACTGCAGTGGTAATGTCAGAATTAATTAATCCAAGGTCCCAGGCTAATGAACGGTTTCAAATCCCACATGGCAACTCACGGATATTAAGTATTGTATAATGAACCTGTTCGGGGACATTGTTCCACACCTCTGAAGCAATTTAAATTCCATTAATAACATCGGGAATTGAAAGCCAGTTATTTAATTTGATTGCCATAAAGCTCACCTTGTTGGGGCTGCAGTGGTAGTGACCTTAACTCTGACGCAGGAAGCCCAAGTTCAGGTCCCACCTATATCCAGAGGTGTGTCGTAAAGTTTTTAACAGCATCAAAAGAGGCCCTTTGGCCCATCGCATTGTCATTGGTCACCATCCATCCATCTACTGTAATCCCATTTTCCAGCAAAAGCATTTCTGTTAAGATTCATAGAATCATAGCATTTTACAGCACAGAAACAGACCCTTCGGCCCAACTTGTCCATGCTGACCAGATATCCTAAATTAATCTAGCTCCATTTGCCAGCATTTGGCCCATATCCCTCTAAACCCTTCCGATTCATATACCCATCCAGATGCCTTTTAAATATTGCAATTATGCCAGCTTCCATAGCTTCCTCTGGCAGCTCATTCCATACACGCACCACCCTCTGTGTGAAAAAGTTGCCCCTTAAGTACATTTTATGTCTATTCCCTCTCACCTTAAACCTATGCCCTCTAGTTTTGGACTCCCTCCACCCTGGGGAAATGATCTTACTATTCACCCTCTCCATGCCCTTCATGATTTGATATACCTATATAAATTCACCTCTCAGTGTCCAATGTTCCAGGCAAAATAGCCCAGCCTATTCAGCCACTCCCTATAATTCAAATCTTCCAACTCCAGCAACATCCTTATAGATCTTTTCTGCACTTGTTCAAGTTTAACAACATATTTTCTGTAGCAGGGAGACCAGGATTGAACATGGTATTCTTAAAGTGGCCTAACCAATGTCCTGTACAACTGTAACATGACATCCCAACTCCTACATTCAATGCACTGACCAATAAAGGGAAGTGTACCAAATGCTTTCTTCAGTATCGCGTTTACCTGTGACTCTACCTTCAAAGCCCACCTGGTTCACTAATGCTCTTTGTTGGAGGAAATCTGTCATTGCCACCTCATATGGCCTACATATGACCCAGAGACAATACACAATAGTACGTGGAAAAGATTATACTGAACCACATTCCACCCTAATTTTTAAGTATACAAGGTGAATTAATATTTGTAAGATTAACCTTTCTTTTCTTTCTCGGATGTGGTTGACTGTTGACTGTCCTTCTCAGCCATTTCAAGGAGCAATTATTGATGGGCAACTGGCCTTGCCAATGATGCCACACAACCCATGAAAGAATGAAGAATTCACACAGCCAGATGCCAACACCAACAGCTCTCCATGATCTTGTGCTGCACAAGTGTTATATAGTGTCGGGAGGTTTCAGGATCGTTGGAGGCTGGTTTCTTTTTTAAGGAGCATATCAAAGTTACCAAAGCATGTCATGCTAAGGACAGCAAAGTGGCTCAGTCGTGAGCACTGATGCCTCACAGTGCCAGCAAATGGGGTTTGATTTAAACCTTGGGTGGCTCTCTGTGTGGAGTTTGCACGTTCTCCCTGTGTCTGCATGGGCTTCCTCTGGCTGTTCCGGTTTTTCATCCCACAGTCCAAAGATATGCAGCTTGGGTGGAGAGGCCATGTTAAATTGTCCATAGTATCCGGGACTGTGCAGGCTAGGTGGGTTAGCCATGGGAAATGTGGGGATAGGGTGGTGTGGAGGCGGGGGAGTTGATTCTGGGTGGGAGGTCCTTTCAGACTCAACGTTCTGAGTGGCCTCTTTACACACTGTAGAGATTCTAAATGAAGAGAAAAATGAAGAGAGGCTTAGGAAGATAATTCCAACTTGTTCGATGATACACAGCTAGGAAAGCAAACTGTGAGGAGCATTCAAAGTCTCTAAAAGGAAAATAAATATAATTGTGTGAGGGGCCAAATCTCGGCAGATGAAGTGAATAAATTGGTGGAAAATGTGACATCCACTTTGGCAGGAAGAATAAAAAAGAAGCAGAATATTATTTTAATGGAGAGAGACCACAGAATGCTGCAGAACCAACACCAACAATCTACAGTTTTGATCATAGATATGAAGGGATATGTTGCATTGAAGGCAGTTCAGAGAATGTTGATTAGGCTGATTCTGAGGGTGAGGAATAGAACTGCAGATGCTAGAAATCTGAGACAAACACAGAAATTGCTGGAGAAACTCAGCGGGTTTGGCAGCATCAAGGAGAAAGAAACAGAGTTAACTTTTCGGAACTGGCCACCTGGAGCCAAAACATTGACTCTGTTTCTCTCTCCACAGATGCTGCCAGGCCTGATGAGTTTCTCCAGCAATTTCTGTGTTTGTCTCAGATTTCTAATATCTACAGTTCTATTCCCCACGTTCGGAATCTGCCTAATCAGTTTCTCCAGCAATTTCTGTTGTCAGCCTGGGATGAGGAGTTTGGCTAATGAAGAAAAGGTTGAGCAGCTTAATTTTACAGTCATTAAATTTTAGAAGATTGAGAGATGATCTCATGAAAACGTGAAATCCAGAGGCAGTTTGACTGGGTAGATGCTGTTTCGTCTCATGTGAAATTCTTGAACTAGAGGACATAGTTCTAAAGTAAGGGGTCTCTCATTTAAACCGAGATGAAGAGGAATTTCTTCTCATAGAGGACGAGTATGTTTGGAATTTTCTTCCCAGAAGGAGAATGGTGTGATGTAATTTCACTGCTTTGGGAACACGTGCAGATAATTTAATCCAATATATTAAAAAAAGACTGGAATAAGAAGGTGGCTTAATGGAAACTACATGACTAATGTTGATTGTCAGGAAAAGCCCATCTGGTTTATTAATGTCCTTACCTGGTCTGGCCTACATGTGACACTGGACCCACAGCAATGTGGTTGACTATTAATTGCCCTCTGGGTAATTAGGAATGGGGTATAAATTGAGGTCTAGCCAGGAACTCCCACATGCCATGAATGAATAAATTTTTAAAAATTCCATGGAGACTTTTGCCAATGGAAGCAAATATGCATTTTTTTTATTCATTCACAGAATGTGGGCATCACTAACTAGCCCAGCATTTTTTCCCGATTTTTTTAAGCTCAAATTCAACCATCTGCTGTGGTAGGATTCAAACCCGGGTCCCTGGAATGTTACTTAGGTCTCTGGATTAATAATTCAGTGATAACACCACTAGGCCATCGCGTCCCACATTGAATATGCACATAAGGTTGAGTTTGACAGAGTTTTGATAGACACGGGATTCGAGCATTTTGAAGGAGCACAGTGGGAGTGCTGCTAAGGCCACAATCAGATCAGCCATGATCTTATTGGATAACAGAATGGGGTCAAGGGGCCAAATGGCCTGCTTCAACTCTTATTTCTTGTGATTTTGAGTTCTCACACACATCCTGGCCAATATTTAGACCCCAGTCAACATCACAAAAATGCATTTACTGAGTTAGTGGTCCATTGCTGTTTGTAGGAGCTTGCTGTTTGCAAATTGGCTGCCGTGTCTTCCACCTCACAGCAGTGCCCACACTTCAAAAGTGCCTCATTGGTGGTAAGACACTTTGACCTACAAAACATATTTTTTCTTCATCCTTTAAATTCTTTTGACCAATTCCCACCTTGGATGGATTCCTCTGTTGACGTTGCTGGACGAGTAATTCAGAAGCTGGAATTAATAACCTCAGAGATCCTGAGTTCAAATATCATTGTTGTAGTTTGGAATTCATGAAATCGTAAGAGAGTATGGATCCATTTCGGTGCATGGAGGATCAAGGAATGAAAGTTAAGAGTGCTTGTATTACATAAAATTATGTGAGAGGAGGCTTGTGGAAAGCACAAATCAGATCTGTTTCTCCTTTGTAAATTCATTATCATTCCACAGGCATATAGAAGAAAGGAATGCTAGTGATCCCAAGATCAAGGACTGACTGCACCTTCAGGAAACATCTGCCATATGTGTGGTTGGAGACGTGATTGGACTCATCAGCTACCCAGGGACCCACAGAAACCATGCCCAGTGATATGGAATTTCCTGCGTGGGTGACCATGAGTTACTGATTGCTGACGATGATGGGAATTCGGATATAGATAGGAAAAAGAATGGACTATTCAGCCCCTTCATCCATTCAATCAATCAGTTGGATCATAACTGATTGCTGATTTATTTTCTTTTTTCCTTCACGGAATGTTAGTGTAATTAAGGCTTGCAGTCATTGCTTTACCTTTGAGCTGTGTACCAGTTAAGCTTCAACCGTA